TTGCTTCAGGTTCTGTCGCATACATTTATGGATACTTAAAGTACGCAATGAATCTTTTCAAAGTAAAATTAGTCGAAATTACGTGATCTATGTTCTGTTTTATTGAGAGTGTTATTTGTGATAATCTAAAATCTAAATCGAAGGAAGGAGGAATAATCTTCATTAGTATAAGTCTGGATACGATCTGAACCAAAATAGCATTTTACTATTGATTATTTATCAAATTATGTTGATGAACAAATTCATTCAGGAAAAAAGATGTTTGATATTTGTTCAAAACGCCGGCTAAAATGCACATTTCCAGTGAAGGGTTAAGAGGATTCTTCATGTCAAGGTTATATTAACAAGGAAATGAAAAATCTTCTTTTAGATAGTAATCTGAAAAATAATTGTTAGATTACGTAATTGAGTTATCCAATACTTCCCGATTTAAATGACTATTGTTATTGAAAACTATTAAATAATTTATGGTAAGTTATATGGACGCATGTCAACTGTTACATTAGAGATTCACTAAGAAAAAAATGTACAGTAACACATCAAAGTTTGAACAACAGAGTGTCCCGCTTGATATTACATTATTATTATCAGCAGCAAGAAATGTTTCGAAGGAAATATACATTTAGATTTTATTCATTTATTGTAAAGATTTGTTGTAGAAGGTTTGTTTCTGAAATGGAGTCATGTGTTCTGAATACATCAATCGATGAATCCTATTATTTTTTATGAGGATGCATTAAACCACCAACGTAAATCAAGAATTTATTAGTACAACTCATTTTAATATGAAATTAAATAAAATGGAACAAATTAAATCGTTGACTAAATTGATCAACTGAAAAAAAAAATTAAACACCGTTTTCATAAATCTTACAAAATTTAACGTTTCGAGGAATATTCGATTTGAAAAATAGCCACTAAAGTTATTAACCAAAGACTCAGTTAAAGAGCAAGTACAACATATGTTAAAAAGTTGTCTAAATCAGTATTAGAAAAAAATAATTGTCTGATACGTCACCTAAATCAGTTTACGTGTTCTCGAGGTGCTTTTGTTATCAGTCTTAAGAAAGCTATTTCAGAAAAACATGTTTAAAGTTTCTACTTGCATAGAATATCATATTTTTGTATTATTGAATTTATTTATACAATTTTTATGGAAGATTCTTCACGGACATCATCTATATTAGCATAAACAAATTGTTGAAAAATTTATTTTATTGACCTACCTAGGTGTGTCACCCCTTGATATGATAACAACTGCAATTTAGTTGATTGGTGTTTCTGTCTAGACAGAAACTATTATTGAATTCTTTTTTCGTCTTCTATTTTCGTTTTTCCTGTCTATGTCTTTTGCGCGTGATGTGGAATTTTTTTTGGGCTTTAAAAATATAAATATTATAGTTTAAGAAATAAGAATTTAAAATTATGATTAATGAATTTGCAAATACATATCAATGAAAATAACGTGCAAGTTTTTGGGTTTGTAAGAGATTAGAAAAATAACTAAAAATTATATGATCTCTACGTATACTAAAGTCTACTGACTTACGTGAAATTTCAAATAATAACCCGCGGGTCCATTGTTAATGCCTCTTTCATTTATTCAAAAGTTACAATATTAATTGAGAAGATATATTACAAAATCATGTGTTCGTGTTTATCAATTCATTAATTATCAAAATAAAATTGAGATATTATGTACACTAACTCAAGAAATGTCAATAAATTTGTATATAATTCATTTATAATCATATCTGCAATCTTTCCGAATCATATTTTTCAGAAAGGACGTTTCATGAGATTCAGTCTTTTAAGCCGTTAGAAAGTTTAAATCCTTCAAAGAAGAGCTTCATTATCTATTGTTTGCGTTATAACATTTTTTATTATTTATTACCTCGTTTTCTAGGATCACAAGATTAGGGAACATTGACTCATGTGTCAAACCTATGACTCACTTGAATCGGTTCTACTTGTCATTATGAAATTGTTGGTAAATGAATCACAGTTTGTTCACGGAGAGCACAATTTTGTCTTCATCGGTATAATTAAATTCTAAAACTTTATTGTAAGGAGCAGGCTTGCATTCTTCTGACTTTTCGATCTGGAAATTAAAATCTATATTCTTTTGTATTTACAAATGTAATTAATAACAAAAATCAATCTCAAAATGGAACTTTAATAAAACTAAGTACTTTAATGTTTTGTATTTCAATATTCTAAAACGCATCAAGTCTTGCAGATATTTTATAATTTACTTCAAATACAATGAACAATTACTATAAGATTTTAACTTAGAGTGAAGCTTATATCGTTGTATCTGCATGAAACAGTCAACATCAGTGAATGGTACATTAAAGTATAATTTCACGACGCAGTACATGAAAGAATATCGTTACAAAATGAAAACAGAAACGTGTTTCATTTTATCTTCATTTTAGTACAGAGAAATATTCTTTTGCTGAGAATTAAGGAGCCAAATACTCAAAATATTTGTATTTGTTAGTTAATTTTAATGAACAAACGTGTACTGTAAATAAGAGATAAAGATGTATGTTTACTGTTTACATTCCTTTTCGAAGTATTCGTGACACTTAGTTGCATGTACGTTTCATTAACGGGTAGGACAATTATTTTCTCAATTATTGCGAATTTCTAAGTTAAAGGCCACCCGAAGATCATTGTGTAGTAGGTCGTTGAATTTCTCTCTTCGTCAGCTATAACGCTATAACGTCAAAAGTCCATAGTGCCATTTGAGAAAGTCAAGGTGACCTGCGATTTTTATCGAATAAAAAGATTTTTCGGAATTCTTATTACTGCAAAATTTATTTTCCTCAAAGAGCACATTAACTTTTATTCTAAACAATTTTTTTTCTCAGATCAGCGTAAATGCCACAAAAATCGGTGCGATCGTTTCGTTGAACCCCCTGCATAGTGATTGAAAAAAGTGTTTGTGGACACGCTCGGTTTCTTGTATATACGGTGATTTCTCTCACATTGTTTCTCGGCTTGCAAACAAAAAATGGACAAAAACTTGGGAAGAGGAGGTACAGTAAATTCTCTTTAATTGACGCTCAGATTGTACACAGAAACGGCAATTTAGGAAGAGGAGATAATGCAAAGAAAGAAAATGAAAGGAAACGAAAATTTCTTAGCGGGGACAATTATTTGCACGTTGTTAATTTTAACAGTGTGCAAATAAGGAAATATGCAAATAACAAGGATGTATTATTAACATTATTTTAATATATAAGTTATGTATATTTTTTAATTATATTTTTATATTATATATTAAATTATGTAATTAATATATAATATTATAATATATATATATATATATATATATATATATATATATATATATATATAAATATATAAATAT